TTTCTCTTATACACATGTTTTCTTGGGGCAGTCATGGATTTGAGCACCACAGCAGTTACAGGCTGCTTAAAAATCTCCATTGGTATGTCTAGTAACCCCCTTCATATTCACTGCTAGCCGAAATTTAAAAACTCTCAATTCCTAATCAATGGAATGGGATGGATCTTAGATGTTTCCGATCTCACTGAAACTGAACCACGAGAAAGCCGTTGTAGTAGAGTACAGTACAAGATATATAATTGCACAACAAATTAATGGATTCGCTTCAGAAGAAGCAGAACAGATGCTGCGTCTGTACCATCTACTTCACGTTGGATATTTGCTATCATTTATGGTTCTTGTGCTGCCAGGTACTATCCGCCTTCTTACTTTCTACTTGCTCAGATGCAGCCGACTGTTTCACTGAGGATATGCTTTGCCTGTGTTTCAGATACGCTTGCTGAAGAAGCGCATCACTTAACTTCGCTGATTATAGTAGCAGAACTAGACTAACGCGTTTGTTTCGAATTTGGATTTTTCTAGTTTCAACTAATCTTTCATATAGTGTTAGGAGCAAAATCACGTATAATCTGGACATTTAAAGAGAGGAGTTCCTTCACCTATGATAGGTTCTGCTAACATACTAGGTAAGTGGGAGGCAAGATCTTGCACCGTCTTTTCGAGTCTACTTAGAGTGCTGCTGTCCGACGTTGGCACTATCTTTCGACCAGTATACTACATACCTAGTGCAATAGTAGGTTTATTTAAAGCAAATCTTGAGGGCAATCTAGGTATCGGCTTTGAATTAAAGTTTGCTAAGATAAATTCGCTTAGCTCAGATCGAAGAAGTGCGCAAAGACTGTTGATAACGAGCAAGGTCCGCAACGATCTTGCATCGAGCTTGATTGTTGTCAATTAACTGCCTTGACTAACTGCCCCCTACCTGCCATTTTCGATAGCGAGCTCTGCTTTGATGTCGAAATTGTCTATCTGCCTAATGCACTGAGAATGTTTGTAGTATAAAGGCAAAATGGTTATGAGTTTCAAAACGAGAGACACTGTAGAAGTTTAGTTAAACAGTATATATTGACAATTTAATCATGTAACAGCGGAAGCCGTGTTGGACTGATCGTACATGTTTCTTTTTGTCTGTTAATCTTCTTTCATTTTGTCTGTTCCACCGTTTCTTCTTTTTCTCAAGTTAGCTTCCTGGCAGACGATAACGCTTGTTTGTCATGGTATGGCGAAGTTCTGCAGTATTCTATGCTCTATAACGGTAGAACCCTTCTCATCTCATCTGTTAAAATTGATTAACTAGGAACTTCGTACCATCTTTAACCAGTAAGAATAATCATATACTTGGTAAGTACTCTTGCGTATACAGTGTCAGTTGTATAAAATTATCAACTTAATTTACTGTCAAATTATCATTGCCAGTAAATAATGTAGCTTAACTTTTATATGCATGCAAAATAAATCAGGAGATTTGTTCTTCTTATATCTTTGTAGTCACTCAAGTTAAGCTGAGTATGTTAGATCTTAGAAAAACTTAACCAACATATACAGCTAATGTACAATTTGCCTGACGATTTAAATCCCACTGTATCCAATGTAAGCACACAGTTGACAAAAACGCACAAAAGAAACCTTTGTATACCATCTTAGCAAAGGATTATGCATCAGAATGAAAAATTAAATTACTATATTGACATGCATTACACGTGTCTGTTTGCTGCGATCATCACGTTGAATTGTCACTAATTAGTGATGTCCGCTGCGTTCTAAGCTATTCAGCACTTTTGCTATAAGGCACCAGTTACTGCATTGTAGAAGGAAGGGTTATGGCAGGGCATACACAACACTTGACTAATCTAACGTGTTCTAATTTCTTCCTAATCAGTTTGTGGATTTTAAGGCTTCTAGTGAACGGTGATCTAGACGGTAACAAGACTTTCTGGGGAAGCAGTTGACTGGAATCTTACGGTAGATCGGTAGGTAGTATGGAGAGTCTGTAGATGTTGTAGTGTTACCGAGACTCTTCGAGTGCTCACAGCTGGTCGAGCATAGTTAGTTACGACGCTAGGATGAGTACAGCAGCTGCTTACGTCGCGATGAATACGATGGACGCAAGCAGTGTGATGATACTTCTGCAATGGGGCCGAAGTTTAAAAAAATACTTGGGCAAATGTTACAGCACAGCAGTAAGATGAGAGGGCTTGCGGCGAGACACGGATCGGCGTAGACGGCTGCCATGGCTTCCATTGGGTCGGTCTATCGGCGATTCGTTGATTCTGGCGATCGATGGTGACCTGATGGACGCAGCAGACGCATGTCGATCGATTGGATGCTCAATCTCGGAAAAAGGGCGCTAGGAGGTGCTGAAGTAGATAAGATGTTTAGAGGGAGAGGGACGAACGGCAACGAAATGGCCACGAAATGTGGGTAGCGGCAGCACAAGTCTTTGTCTTTCGTCCTCCTGCTTCGGTAGCTTGCTGTGACGAACGCCAGGTGGCGACGAAAAGGTGGGCAGGCCAAGTGGAGCGATGATGACCGTGACGTCGATGACATGGTTTCCGAAAGTCGAAGAACGTCGTGATTGTTGTTCGTCGTCGTCGCTGTCATCGTCGTCCAGTACGTCGTCGTTCGCACCAATTATCATCGGGTCATTGTCTGTCGTTCGGTCTGTCTGTCTGTCTCCCTGTCTGCTTGTCTGGTGTGCGTAGTCTGCTTCGCCGCCGTTGTTGCTGTGACTGTCGTGAGGTGGACGTTCGGCCCCCGGCTTCTGGCACGAAGAGGGTTATCAGAAATCGGGAGATGAGCCCGTGATTTGTGCCTTTGCTCTGACCGTTGTCTCGGATTTGCGTTTGGAAAGACGGCACGCGCTTGTGCGTCACGTCACGAGAATCGGGTTTTAATAAAAACGATTTATCGGGAGATGTGCCACGATTGATTCTACTTCCGTTCTGGTGATCGCGCGTGCTTTCGCTTTCGTTATGCTCGTTTTGTATTTAGTTTTCTCTGCATTATTGCAGGTCCACGTCGTCACTTACTTTCGTCGTCGCTTGTCAACGTTGCTGTCGCTGCTGGTGCCGTGCCGCGCACTGACCACCTCCTCCTCTGCGATGGACGTGTGTTGCCCGTGTGTTCGACCTCCGACGCCATCGTCGTAAATATTACTGCGCATCATTCTCGTCCTCCTCCGGGTCGTCGTACGGTCGCACAGTTCCTGTACAACAGTTGTCGACGGAACATCTCCATGGCGTTGGTCAGCCATCATCGTTGTCTCTTCGGATCTGCCGGTAAGTGTCGTTCCTCCTTTCGATGCGCGTACTTTACTTGTCTGAGGTTTTGCAGCCGGCGCCGCCACCACCGCCACTTCGGCTGCTTCCTCGTCAAATCTGCTGGCTACGCAATCGTCGTCGTCTTCGTCATCGCAGTCCTCCTACTTCCAGGGCTCAACGTCGTTGTCATCGGCTTCGACCTCATCATCGTCGCATAACGTCCAGCCACAGCCCGATCGTCCCATCGGCTATGGCGCCTTTGGAGTTGTCTGGTATTTGTTTTGGTCTCTTTGTTTTTTCGGCTTCTTTTCGTTCGGCTGACGTTGAAAGGGCTGCTGGTTCGTTTCGTAGATTTTCAGCCGATGACATATTTGAAAAAATCTATGAAACCAGCAGTACTTTGTTTTAAGACTTTCTTGATACTTTCTTCTTGTGCCAAGTGGCCCTTCCTTCGCTTTGGCAAGTTCGCTCTGCTTTTGGCGTATGTCAGCCTACCCATGGTTCCTGGCGGCTTGTATTCTTGACACTTCGGTATTCATTGTTAAAGTTCTACTACTAGCTGCTTCATATTGCTTTATTCATAGCTCATTTTTTGACTGTTTCACAGCACAGTAACATAACAACGCATATCGTAGAATGCGCATTTTCGACACGGATGCAAGTATATCTCCTGTCCGTCGGTCGAAGTCGGCAGGCAGACAGACAGACAGACAGACAGACAATTCGGTCGAAACCTGTTCCATTGTTCTTTTGAGCCGTGCAAAATTAATACACAGAACTTTGAATTAAATTCTATATTTCATCGTATGTATGTATTTTGTTACATGCATATATTAAAAATATCGGTCGGCACAATAAGCAGCTGTTTTTAACCGTCTGTCAACAAACGACGTTGTATCTGTCTGTCTTGATGTCAACTACTGCACGAACTACTGGCTTAGCGTTAGTATATGTTCACTATCTATCCATCGATTTACGCATCGAAACAGAGGTAAACCATTGAAAGAATAATGGCTTGCAATAGAGAGTAAACACGTCGTAGGAATGCGCCCAGATCAATGGCAAGATTCGGCTGAAACAGCTAAAAAAAGCTCGCTGTGCTGATAGAAATCACAAATCAATAAGAAGTCTTCGAGATGC